AAAACTGAAAAAAATAAATAAATAAATAAGAAGCTTTTTCGAACATAAGTCTCTCACATTCTCTTCCTATCTTTTCCTTAAGTCTGTTTCCTTTCGTTCCATCTCTCCTCCCTCCTAACTGCTCCACAATCCTCTCTAACAAGCCATTTCAAGAGGATTAAGGGAGCAGGATAGATGAGTAAAAGAAGAAGAGAATTCACATTACAAACTCTGGACCAGTACAGTCCAATCCATCTTTTAGTGCAGGGTGCATATCTCATGCAGTCCCTCATTTCAACACATCCTTTGGGTATTTTAGCGCAGGCTTTTGGCAGTAATACATGGGGTAAACTGCAGCAGGATTCTATTACAATCCCAGTGGAAGACTACATTTATATGGCGCTGTGGCATTTTTCAAAGTAATGGCTCTCCTTGTGTGTTTAGCGACAGGCAGTCAGAGTGTGGAGCCTCGCTGCACAAAGCTATTATGGCTCAATCTTGTGATATGCAGTTGAAGTGTGAAGGTTTCCGCTGATGGTATCAGATGCTGGAATTAATTCATTTGAATGCTGGACAGCTTTGCATTCACCCTCAAATGAGTTACAGACACCATGACCTAAACCTCAAGAATTTTCTTTTTCCTTTGCAGGCCTAAGACCACAACAAATGCTCAATTTCAAGCTGTTTAAATATAATCAAAGAGACCATGGCATCTGTGAGGAACGTCCTCAGCGCTCCTCCTTCTCACCTCTCCTCTCAGCGATCTGCAGGTAGCCACTAGACAGGTACTGCTCCATGTCTTGCTGGAAGGCCTCCTCGAAGAATTTCTGCCTCTCCTTCAGCTTGACCTGGGGGGGTGGGACCCCTCCCTGTTCTGCCCCTGGGACTCTCTGCGCATGCTCCGCATCAAGCTCCACTAGGTAAAAAGAGAAAGAGTGTTTTGAAGTTAGTAGCTGGACATGAGACAAAAACAAGGAAAATGCAAACTTCCACCAAAAATTTGCAACTATGACTAACAAAAAGATTCAGTCATGCCTACTAGATCTCAAACGTCTGAATAACCACCAAAATCTAGTAATATTTTACTTGGCTCAAGTAATTATTGAGTGCTATTGCAGATAGAAATCAGGCTGGGGACAAACTTTACTGAAGCAGAACGATGTCTAGCTTAGTCCTCAACATATTATACTAATCAGCCCACCCTCAGTAACTCAATACCCCGTCTCCCGTGTGTTGCACAGGAGGGACCACGTTCACTGAAGTCTCACACATGCAAACTCCTCTGCTTCAGTAAGCCACGACTCATCTCCTGCTGTCTGAATCCTCAGTCGTGCTGTGGCGTTAAAGGGGACGCTGATCACTGTATGAACTGTCTAGGAAAATGACTGCCATGTTCGTTGTATTCTTTCGTAAATTTAAATATTACAAGGTCATTCAGTTATTATTTAGTCAGAGTTTGATATACATTACGAGCTAGACTAAAATGGGCCTATTAGACTATTAAAGGCCTCTCTCCTGTTGAAAACATGCAGTTATTTTGCAAAACCTCCACTGGTAGCAAGTCATCTCCATATATTTATATAACATGCTGAATAGTGATTCTTAAATCTGCCTTGACAAGGTATTTACTGGATTCTGATTGGTCCACGCAGGACTCTAGGGCAGACTGTGACTGGCCTGAACAGTGCACTTGTCCTGGCAGTTTAAGACGTCTGGGCAGTCTGTGTGGGCCGAACGGGGAGAGGGAGGAGCATATTCAAGAGACAGGGTGACAGAAAGAATGACCCTGCAGATAGAGAAACACTATGTGCGTGCATGTGTGTGTGTGTGTTTGTCTGTGCACGGCTGCAGCCTGGAGTCTCTGACAGCCTGTCTCTTTAGTTCTTCTTGTCTCCCTCTGATAGATGGCAGCATTATATAAGGCCACTTGCTGACACTAAGTACTGTGGCAAGAGCCAGGACACTTCATATAAAGTTTCTGATGTGTCTGATATCATTGGTTAGACAAAAACAAACATCCAATTTAGGGAGTGATGAGTTAAACGCCTTACCATTTTGAATGATGTCTGTTCTTTTTCTCTATTAAACATCAGCTGTCCTCAACAAAATGAATCATAATACTGCATACTCTCCTCGACTGTTGAAAGCTTTCTGTTAGTCTGTAAAGAATTACTCAAATGTCTGGCTTTTGTCACACAGGCTCAATTAGGATTTAATTCAACTAAGGTATTCCTCGAGAGCTGCACACTGTTCATTTGTGACAGACAGAAGTAAACATATGTTATTACTGACACTGAAATACAGTTTTTTTTTAGATGAAAACTGCAAAAAAAAAAAAACATGGAGCACAGAAAATAGACAATTTAAACTTTATACTTGAGCAGCTGAGCGAGTTGTGGGTCAAAAACAATGGAGAAAATGCCATGTGGGAGGTATGAGCTGAACCAATTAAATGTGTTCTTGATGCCAACACAGAGTGTGAGGTGGTCAATTAAAATGGAGTGCTCCGCAGTGCCAAAAGCTGTCCTAAAACATGAATGGTTTAAAAATGCATTTATTGTTCTTTGGCAAGACTTTAGCGAATACATTTGAAGTAGCTTCATGCGAGGACAAAAATCTTACCAACTACCTGTATACTTGTTAATACTGTATGTAAATGCAAGAACATGCTCTTCTTCTTTTCTCTCCTGCAAAAATCTGGCTTCAGTGAAGTAAAAAAAACCCAACCACCTCTGGTTGGTCAGTTTTCTGGTGCGATTTGAACAGTATGACTGTTGGCGTTTACATTACATCCCAGGTCATATTGTGGCGCCTGTTTTACACAGCTCTGCACCATTCTCTGCCTTTCATCTGAACAGCCACCCAAAAATCAATACACTGCTTCAGGAGTGTTAACTCTACTGCAAGATCAGAGCTGGGGCACCCTCACACAGGCCAGAGTCCTGATAGAATAGGCTGGGCCCTAAAGGGGGCTTGCAGCAGATGGACACACACACACACCAGCACACAAAGAAGGGAACAATGAGGTCCCATCAGAGCTCCATCATGATAAACATCACACCAGCAGCCCTTGGAGGGGGGGGGGGGGGGTGTCTCCCTCTCTCTGTCATTCCTTACTCAGAGTCCAATTTATCTCTTTTATCTGACTAGTCCTCCTTTTTCTCCATCACTCCCTCATCTTTCCCTCCTGACTCTGTCCTACCCTCTCTGTGGGCTGGTGTGTGTGTGTGTGTGTGTGTGTGTGTGGATATCTTGTAGAGACTGCTCTATTAGATTAGGGGCCTCAGGGAAGCTTTGTTCAGGTTGTCGAGCATTGTGTGGGGTTAGATAGAGAGGGGGTGAGGGAGAGAGAGGACAGTGCGTTCAGTTGTAATTAGGCTTTGCGGACAGACAGCATTAATCATGTCTTTTTTTTAACCCTCTGTCTCTAATCAAATTCTCAATCCATTATTAGCCAGCGCTGTCTATTTATTTAGACCATCTATGTAGTTACTGAGTGTGTGTGTCCATCTGTCTGTCTCAGTATCTAAACCTGTCCTTCCTTTCTCCATCAAATATAAAGACAAAGAGTTTTAAGTTACAAAGAAAGTCATTTGCTTCCCAAATGATTCAAACAGGAACACATTTACCCCAATTCCACATTATAATAAATCCACAAATCTCCTTAACCATAGCAAGCCATTAAGCATATACTATAGTCATGGTTTATGCCAATATTCCCACACTCCAAATGGTTCCTTTGCATATAACACCACCTGTTGTATACATTTCTTCTTTCTAATCTCTCTTTCCTGCCCCTTCCTTCTGCTTTTCTTCATTATCATCTACCACACAACCACATCCTGCTACACACGTTACTGTAGCTACAGGGACTATTTTTAGCTCTCACTCATATTTAGCCTGCAGGATTAAGTTTGTGCCGATGACTTTAGTGTGAGAGTGTAAGTCATTAAGTCCAACAAATTCCATCCTTGCATGCTGTGCTGCACATAGTGTTTTACACAGCTGCACGGACATACCTTCAGATTCATGTGAATGCACATGTAAATGTTCATAAGAGCCACACAAAACAGTCTATTACACACTTGTGTGACATGATTCATATTCACAATGGTGAATGCGCACTCACACAGAAATACACATGTGGTGATGATTCACAGGAGCTAAGGCAATTGCATTATGTTAGTCACAGCAGACGTTATCCAATGAAATTACATAATTTTATTCAATTACAAAGAAAAATGTTTCTTAATGGTACTCTTGTATAATAGCTGCTACAATCTGGAGCTGAATCACTTCTGCTTAAATGAACAAAAAGAGGAATTCCCCTCATGAGGAAAAAAAAAGACAAAATCGATACACAGTCATAATGAATGAATTTCTGTAATACTTTTGCTTTCAAAATGAAATCTTTTGAAATGAAAACCTACAAGAAACACGTGAACTGAAAAATCCAGGTGCACTACCTGAGTTTGTACTTGCTGTGTTACTTGGTGCGTCTGTTCCCGCAATCATCATGCAGGCCAAAAGAAAGTGAATACTGTCCCCCTCACGGGCTGTTTCTTTTGCTCGGACGCTCAGCAGGCAACATACACCGTGTACTCACAAAGTGTTGTCTGCTTCTCACCTCTCCGCTGTGCGACCAAAAACCCAGGGGAAATAAAAACAAAATTACATTAAATAATCTTGTCCTTCTTGCTCAGATAGCTATTTGTGCAGACGGATCAATATGAAATGAGACTTTTAATGCAATTACACTCATATCTGTTTTCAGCGGTAGAAAAAAAAACGTCTGGTATTTGCAGTACAAATGCAGGAAGCAGAACCCACAGGAAACAGGCTGGTATGTCAGGGTGTGTGTGTGTGTTTGAAAGCATGCACGTGTGTTTTCTTGCTTACGTAGATGTGTGGGTGATCATGCAACCTGTGTGTGCATCTTTTTATATACCTTCATATACAGACATAGGAAACAAGCAGAGAAGCATTTACCTGCTGCTGAACTTCGCTGTTTACTCACTCTAACATGCAGTCTGTATTTTGTTGCTTCGTGTTTACAAGAGTGTGAGTTTGTGTCTGCGACTGAAGCAAAACTGTGAATGTGGCATGTGAGTGTGTGTCCATATATAGAAGCGCAGAGACCAAATCTTACTAGCTTTGCCCTTTATTTGCAGCTATTGTATAGTGAGAGAAGTGGCTGCAAACTGCAGCTGAGAGAGCCATCGAGGGCAATTCAAGTCTTTAGGATTCAACTCAAGCTTTACATTTGACTAAATGGTGTCATTTTCTCCAAGCTTGGCTCACAGTGCAAAAATGCCGATCTTATAAGTTAAGTGTTCATCATACAAGCTTGGTCACCACATCTCTTTTGTACAGGCAATGCTAATTTGGGCTCACTTGAAACAGGAAGTAATTTTATTTCTTTGAGGACATTCTAAACCTCTTTTCAGTAGGTTTTTTCTTTTCAGGAAGCGCTTATTTTAAATCTTAATTAGAGCCCTTTCAGAATTTTGTTTAGTAAGATTTTTTAGGTATAAAGAATGTTGAGTTAGAGCACTGACAGCCTCCATTTAAGTGACCTTAAATAACAAGTAACACTAACAGCCCCCTTTTCAAATGGAAATATATCTTTTTATGAGTCATCAACAGCCAATTCAAGTCACAGCTGAGCCTGGTCCACAGTCATTTACACTTTGTAGTGTACTTTACATATCAGGTGCCACCACAGGCCGTGCCAATGGAGAGAAGGTTATGTTTGAAGCCTCAGTGAACAAATGAATGGATGAACAGGCGGATGGATGAAAGTAAAGTGGCCAGCAAAGTGGATTTGCTGGCAGGTTTGCCTTTAAAGCCCACCACAGGCCCGGGACTGGAGCCAGTTTGTGCAGACAGTATTGGACATGTAATGGTCCTCTGAGGCTGTTTGTGCATGTGGGATAGAAAGACAGAGGGGTACAGGAAGTGGGACGGGTGGTGAAAAGCAGGATGTGTAGGGGGGGTGGTAAATATTTTCATCAGTATGTCGTTCTTGAAGAAAGAGATGAGAGGGGGAAAGGGACATGGCCACAGGCTGTGACCTTGGAGTCAGGGCCAGAGAGGTCACAATATTTTAAATACTGTGAAAGCAGTTTGCTTATGTGATATCACAGTCTGTGCTGACTTTAATTCATTCTGACATTTTTAGAAAACTGCTCAATATATTAATCGTTTTATTTAATTTGTCAACGAAAACTGAGCCATTCTTCAAGCATGGATACAACTCATGCCTCATGAGCTCAAATTATCTTATTTTTGCTTATTTTGACGCTCAAACAATACCTCCATGAACAAATTATAGCTGTTTCATACACTTTACATCACACTGACTCACCAAACAGATCAAACGTTCAATATCTGATATAAAAAAACCCTGTTCTCCCTGTCACTTTAAATTAGCTGTCTGGTCTCAGATGAATTTGTTTCCGTTTGCTTATAAAAGGCCTAATATTTCATTCTGAGACAGCAGCGCACAGCCCTGAAGACCAAGAGACGGGCTTGACAGTGGAGACAGCCACTGCTTCTTCTTCTTAAGCCCCTGCTCACTCAGCCGTGGTATTTTTAGATTCTGTCCGCCTCGCTATATCTCTCAAGTGTTCAGGTTTCCGCCAAAGGCAGCCCCCATGCTGTAAATAACACACACAATCGCTTCTTTCTCTCTGTTGTGCACACACCCATCGAAATTACTTGCATGTTAAGTGGCAAAATATGTATCATACAGAAACTGGGTACTGGGTGAACTTTGTGTGTGTGCAAAGGAGACAGACATAAGTGTGCACAGGTGATGAGGTACATTACGTACAAAAATAGAGAAGGGGTGAGTCATTGTGATCGAAGTGTGACTTAACAGTGTATTCTCCAGAATGAACCATCCAGCCATTTATCTGTATACCCAAGTACTAACTTCTAAAGTAATGTGGATATAGCTACTCAAACACACATGCACATACACTCACACTCACAATGACTCAAAGGACCAGTTGTACGTTTTTGGTGGCATCTAGTGGCCAAGTTGCAGATTGCAACCAACTGAATTCAGCTCAGCCTTCCAAGCACGTAGGAGAAACTATGGTGGCCATGAAACTTGTAAAAAAAAAGGCAAAAGGCCCTACCCAGAGCCAGTGTTTGGTTTGTCCATTCTAGGCCACTGTAGAAACATGGCTGTGCAACATGGCAAACTCTGTAAAAGACCTGGTCTGTAAATAAAAACATCCCATTCTAAGGTAACGAAAACACAACAATTATTATTTTTAGTGATTAAACACTTAACTAAGAATATTATGTTTAATTTATGCCAATAGATCTTCCTAAATGTTACACATGGGACCTTTAATCTTCAAACCGATCACCCTGTGACTTACTAACACACACACACACACACACACACACACACACTACATACAGGACACACTAACAAAACGCCCCACCCCCCCATATAAACACGACTTTCTACTGTTCGTGGTATTGCTTCATGGTCTGTCTCTTCGTTCCTGTCGATAACACCTGTCTGTTTTCACTCTGTTGGACTGCTCTGTTGGACTGCAGCAGTGGCAGCTTTATAAGGTTTCTGTCCCGTCTTTTTTAAGAGCAAAACATCAGCTGCCGAGTTCATACACTTACACAATCACTCACAAACGACTGTGAAGCTGGAAGAGTGTCTGTGTTTATTTAGCACAAGAAAGACAAAATCATCAAGATACTGTATTATTAGCTGTCTTGCACATTGCTGGCACATTTTAAATCTAATTTTAAGCCCCCGACAGCCTTCCAGCATTTCAGTGTTATTGTTATACTTTGTAGTATAAGTTTGTTTTCTTAAGAACTCTTGCCTTGGGGATCCAGATTGAAACTACAATTATTTCCCTCTTTCTTAATGGTTACATTAACAAGAACAAAATGTATACAGTAGATTGCTGCGATGCTTAAAAAAATGATACATTGATACATTGATACAAAATGTTCCACACTAGCTGCTGGCTTTACTTTGTTCTAATTTACATGGAAACATGAAACCTGTGTAAACTTTCTTGTAGAATTCAGATTCAGACTGAAACCATGTGTAACTTCTGGTAACTGGAAGCCCCTAAAGACCAAGAGAATACAGAGAAATATGGCTGTTTGGTGTGGCTTATGTACACATTACTGTTGCGTTTGAAATAGTTTGTCAATTGCGTTTGACACTACAGCATTTAAGATACAGTAGAGGGCTGTGTGACAGTGCAGAGGGGTATAGGAAATTAACATTTTAGATTGGTTGTGTTGTTGTGTTGTGAGGAAGTCAGATGAGAGTCGGCTGACAGTCAAACGAGCTAAAGTAAGATTAAAAGATCATTGTACTGAGGAAGGCCTAAAGCATTGATCTTTGATTAACAGTGAATGGTAAGGAGGTCACCAATTATTCTTCTGTATACTCGATGGTATATAAGGCAAAGCATTCTGAAAGTCTGTGAGAGAACAACCATGCTGAGATCTTCTCTCCATGTTGCAATAAGTAAAGAGACTTGATTCATTACACTGGGTCTGTAATTCTTCAGAGAACTAGCAACTCTCAATATTTTAGAAGAATTTCTCCTTCAGTGGGCAACGCTGTGTTCTACATGCAGTGCGGGTGTTGAACATGAGTTTACCACACAGTTTGTGTTCGCTCCATGTTTTCCTTGACCTTGCAACAACAGAAGGAAATTGATTTCTTTGTGGTTTTTATTTATTTATTTTCCAAGCCTTGTGATAAAACACACATTTTACCTTCAGAATCAGTATATGGATACATACAGTATGTATAATATATACTGTATATATAAGTGTTAGTCTATGCACACAATAAACACGACTTTGAATAAAAATTATTAACAGTGGAAGACTCAATTTAGAGTGAGTGCTTGTCAGCTGTGACTGTTATGGCACATATAAATATAACCACAAAATATTTTTTTTATAAAAACCCTAGAATAGCTTACTGCTAGAACTTAACAATACATACAATACAATACATCTTGTCAGGTTTTTCACAGAAGTGTTATTTGCAATTGTCTCCTTCCCCATGTTGAAACAAGTTTACAGGACAAACATTTGCCTACTAATGTGACAGTGTAGTAGTGTACAAACACAGTTGTTACTTTATGTGCCAAGCATTCACAGCTGGCAAGCATGCAGAAACTAATTTTCACTGGTTTGTAATCAAATTAGTGTTTTCTGTGATGCGTGAGTCGATGATGAATATCTAATGAGAGGCCTTGTTGAGAGGAAATTAATACAATAAAACACTAAGAATACAGCACTTACATGAGTTTTAGATTTACTGTGACTTCTGCTGATTATATGAGAGATTATAAAATATTGAGTCATAGTTCTGTCTGGAAACGTGTTATGTTACAAACAGTGAGTAACGATGTTTAGTGACACTTCATACACGCTTTATGTTGAAGCTGTGTTCTGAAAATAAAGTTGCAGGCCACTTAACAGAAAAACAGTCAGGAGCTTGTTAAATATTTGCATTGTGCACAAGATCCATGAGGGTTCTCTCTCTTTCTCTGTCAGTAACCATCATCTACTTCGAGTGGGAGTGAAAACACACATTAAACTAGTTTTGCTAACTACACATGTAACCAGGCAACTGCACACCAACATGTAAGGCAAAGCTCAGTGGGAGAGCTTCTTCCTGCTAAGCCATTCATAGTCAGAACACCACTGGAGGACAAACCATTTTTCATTACAAATTATGACTTATTATATGTTAAAAGATAACACACAGCTTCAGAGCCCAT